GGCTCACAAAAACAAAGGACTAGGGATGCACAATATATCGGCCACCATATCGGTATCGGACAATATATGTTCATTTTTATGTTATTTTTAATGTTATTGTTATAAACAGTATAGAACTTCCTTCAGCTGAGACGCTTCAGAAGCAGACTGTTCACCATGATGGTTTTGAATTGCTTGAAATATGATTGAAATCACTTAAAAACATACAGTGAACATGCACAGTCTGTCATATAAGCTACATAGAATTATCATGAGAACATCATAAGTGTGTGTTTGTATCGGTTATCGGCTTTCAATTATAAAGATTTATCGGTTATCGGCTTACAAATATAAATAATTATCGGTGTTCTGCATGCAAATACAAAGTATAAAGAATTATCGGTTATTGGCTTACAAATATAAAGAAATATCGGTTATTGGCTTACAAATATAAAGAAATATTGGTTATCGGCTTACAAATATAAATAATTATAGGTGTTCTGCATGCAAATATAAAGAATTAACGGTTATCGGCTTTCAAATATAAAGAATTATCGGTTATTGGCTTACAAATATAAAGAAATATCGGTTATCGGCTTACAAATATAAATAATTCTAGGTGTTCTGCGTGCAAATATAAAGAATTATCGGTTTTTGGCTTACAAATATACATAAATATCGGTTATCGGCTTTCAAATATAAATAATTAAAGGTTTTCTGCAGACAAATATAAAGAATTATTGGATATCGGCTTACAAATATAAAGAAATATCGGTTATTGGTCTACAAATATAAATTATCATTGGTTTTCTGCATACAAATATAAAGAATTATCAGTTTTCTTCATTCAAATATAAAGAATTATCGCTTATTGGCTTATAAAGAACTATCGGTATCGGACAAAATTTTCATATCGGTGAATCCCTAAAAAAATATTGAATAAAATAAACAAATATGTAACTATTGAAATATCAGTTGGGGCTTTCTCACCGGATAGTTCTAGCAACTAGCCGCCAGGGTGTTTCCCCAATTACTAATGGTTCCCCTAGGAACGTTTTCCTAGTTGGATTTACATCACTAGTAGGAACTAGGGCTGGGTAATAAATATCGATTTCTCGATATTAATCGATTCTCATTTTTATGAACCGATATCGATTCTTAAATCCCAAGAATCGATTAGTCATCCTGTTTCATTTGAATGAATGGGACATTGTATCGCGGCTGCGCGCATCCAAAAAAATCGCAATAATCTTTGTCCTTTGTTACTATTGATATGAAACAAAGTCTCAATTTTCAAATTACGTCCATTTTCTTTAGAAATTCAAAAACATAAATAGCGTTTTGGCGCTGTGGCGTGAGATCGCTCTGGCGCAGCTCAAGAGAAGCAGCAGCGCTGATCTCTCTTCCGGGTTAATAATACCAGTCACAGCGCGAAATAAACATGAATGAGCATCTGAAAGTGTGTTAAAAGATAGCGTACAACTTATCGAAATCCGTATCATGTCACACGGATTCCCTCAATCAGCGTTTCAACCGTGGAAAGACGTCAGTTAAACAGCTTGTAATCAATGTATCGTCATATTTACCTCAGAAAACCCACATAAACTCGTTAGTCAGCTAGAAAAAATAACTCCAGAGAGGAACATTTTGCTAAATATATACACCATATTACATATGCATTATAATCTTAATGTTCTTCAATATTTAATGCATATTTGAATAAATCTGGCAAGTTTTTATGACAGCCACCATTTAAATGTTTATATTTCATATAATCTTCTTATCATAAAAAAAATAAAAGTGTAATTTAAGTGTCTGTATAGCTACAAAATAGTTCATGATAACCTTCATATTAGGCTAATGAAGCCTAGTAGGCTACAACTAGACATAGACCATAGTTTACAGCATTTAAGAGATTTGATTCCCTTGAGAAAAATGGCCATTTATTGTAACTGATATCCAAAATAATCGATATTGAATCGAAATCAAAATCGAATTGCAAGCTTGTGAATCGAAATCGAATTGAATTGTGAAATTTGTCTCAATACCCAGCCCTAGTAGGATCTCTGAAGTGACGTGAGCCGCGCATGTTGTTGTGACTTTTTGATTTTGACGGCGCTGAGAACGCCAGAGCCTGAGCTCAAAGTGCTCACATTCTATGTGTTCATTAGTTTACGATCTGCCTAACAGAATAGAAAGTACTAGAAAGAAAGAAACTACATAGAAAGTAGACAGTAGTGAAAAGGCATTAGCGTATGCCGTGTGGTTGATGTCCAGTGTTGCTAGCTGAGCAGAAATACATAATCATGTTTCCTCATGTCTCCTCAAAGTCGCATTGGATTTTCTCCTCAGCGTGAAGGTGAAGAGGTCCATCTATCAGTTTTACATGTACATAGAGTTAGTTTGTGGAGTAAATAAATAGGCTTTAATCTGTATGTTTACAAAGCCTTTAAAAAATGGGGGGATGGTGTTCGTGTGTGTGTGTTCGGCTCTAAAGCCACGGATAGTTTCTATAGCGCTGGTTCAGACCCGACTATGAAGCAGGAGATACATTAGTTCCTCCAAAACGAATTCCTAGAACTAAAATCGCTCCTTGTTCCTGCACCAATGGTTCTAGGAACTATGAAAAGGTTCCTCCAGTGCGAAAGCCCCTAATAATACACTTTAATACCTCCAGGCAGCGGTCCTGCCATCTGCGCGCCAGCATCTCCAGGAGAGGAGGCCTGAACTTATCCAAACCCAGAAGATCAGGAAGCATAACACAATGCATGGCGGCCAGCTGACTCCAACCTACACAAACACACAAAATCACACACAGAGTCAATCACAGCGTTACACAACAGCCTTGCAGATCTGAAGCCCCGGCCAGACAGGACCCTAGAAAAACACGAGCCACGTTTCAAATTCATGATGAGCAACATCCAACACAGAGTCACATATATCAGAAATATATGGAACAGCTTTTCGGAAAACTTCTGAGGAAAGAAACTTCAAAGAAATTTCTTTGTGAAGCGAGATCAACAAACTTACCTTTAGGGAAATATTCTAACAACTACTGGACATTCAGGCCATCGCTTTATATAGACTGATTAACAAAGACAAATCTAGACTGGATCTCTAAGAAGGGAAAGAACAGCGAAGCAGAAACACTGAAGCATTGATACAACATGAAATTTACCACCAAGTATTTTTGTAAACAGTGTGTGGACAATTTTACATGGAACATATTTGGCTCTCTTTTAAATTAAAATGTAAAATTATTTTATAAAAGCACTTTACAATAAGGTCTCATTTAAATTAAAACAATGAACACATTAACTGTGTACAGTATATAGATTACAGAAACAACTGCTTTAAGGATTTATTTCTTTCACTCGTAAGGATGTTTATTAAAACACTGAGGATCTGAAGATAAATGTGTGTGTGTGTGTATATGTATATATATATATATATATAAACTAAGCATGCAGTCCAAAACACATTGACACAGACAGAAAAACAGACAGACAGAAAACGACTACAAGCACGAGGTACAGTAGAATAGTGAACCTAGAGACAGAACGAGTCACACACAGGCACTGAGCGCGAGGCAGACGGAAAGCATAGGGAGAGAAAAGGAGCGCGGCTAAAGAAAGAGAAAGAGAGAGAGAAAGACTGAGAGAGGGGCCTTTATTCAGAGAGAATACCTTCATTGACTGAGGGGGAGTGAGACACTCCTGAAGCAGAAGACGGAACAGCGACGGCAGCTTGAAAACAGAGGAAAAGAGCCGTGAAACAGAAAGAAAGAAAGAAAGAAAGAAAGAAAGAAGGAAAGAAAGAAAGGCCTCCAGCAGTGTTAGAAGAGTAAAGCAGCCGTTATTAAATGAAAATAAACTGAATACATCGGCACTCACATGGACAAAAAGAAAACAACAAAAAGAAATACAAAATTTTTAACTAATTGGTTATTAGTGTGACTATCACAAAACATTCTAGATTTTATAATTATTAATATCAACTTCCACAAAAATAGTCAGTATTTGCCCTAAAACCGTTACTGTACTGTCAGATCATCAGATATTAATAAACGCTAATAAAGCTTTCATTATTCCAGCTATCACGGTATAGTGGTTTCCAGATGGAAACTTTTATTAGCATAGTAAATATTTGAGCTGAAAAGCATTATACTGAAACATGGATAAAATATGGCTAATGAAACCAAAAATTTTCAATTGAACCTTTTAAACAACTAATGCTTAATTCTCCACGGTTTATTTATTCCAGATATGAAACAGCTTCACAAACAGTCTTTTCAATCACACAGTTTCATTATTTCTGTCTTACAATCATTCATATGATCACAGAAGCACTGGGATAAAAGATTATAGTTCAGATATGTCTACAGTAGAGATCGAAATAGAGTAAATCACCTGTAGAAAGTAACTTAGTGCTTCAAATTAAGATTGTATCGATTACATTAATGTTAAATGCAAACACTGTTAAACGTAGGTCATTGAATCATTCACTCAAGAGATTTGTCCAAAAACACTGAATCATCCAGTGATGAAACAAGTCTTTATGAGTGAGTCCTTGAATCATTCACTCAACTGACTAAGAAAAAAATCAAACGAGTCAACATTTTTAATAGACTGAAGTAATTAACATTTTGTCAATTTATCAATTTATCTAAATTTATCCAGAATCATGCTATTATATATATATATATATATATATATATATATATATTAGGGGTGTAACGGTACATGTATTCGTATTGAACCGTTTCGGTTCGAGGCTTCCGGTTCGGTACGCATACAAACCGAACGATTGCTTGGACCATTTTTCTTGCCGGCAAAATTCGTGCTGACGCGGCCAACACAACGTTGCGCAACATCCAAATGGCAAGCGTAATGAAAGCAGAACGAAACTGCGCTCCTCGTTATGTGCTTCACGGATCGTTTATCAGTTCGGACCAGCAACATCTGTGCAGCGCGAGCCGATCTCGATCAAGCAACACTGTTACCACACCGCGCTAAGAGATCCGGTAAAGAAAACATTTGAATTCGCCACTGAGGTAATAACATCGCTGCGAGATCTAGTGAGATGCATTCATCTCTGTCATGGAAACCAGGAGAAACATTGTGCCGTGAATGAACTAGTAGGCTACTTTACGTCCACAGACCAGCAACATTCACCATGGATTTAATATAGTAACACTAACTGGAACCAGTTTGGCTGGAATGGTGAAATGCTTTCAAGTACTTCACACATCTTTTTCCAGCACTTCAAAATTCAAATATTATATAAATAAATATATATTTAAATGTTATTTTTAATGTGATGGCCAAAACATTATTTGTTCATCCTTCAAAGATGACCCCTATTTATAAACCTGAAAGTTTCAAGATCTAGGAAAACTCACACTTATTTAAAAATATTTTTTCTTTAAACAAATAGGAAATTTCTCTGGCATTTCTTTCTTTTTGCTGTATCGAAAACGTACCGAACCGTGACTTTAAAACCGAGGTACGTACCGAACCGTGATTTTTGTGTACCGTTACACCCCTAATATATATATATATATATATTGAAAACCAATAATAATATTGCAATAATTCCATACAAGCCATTACTCAGTTGATCCAAAACATTTTGCTGCACCTGTAAAATTAACAATTATGAGCAAGAACAACAAATCCCATGAGCACTCGAGAAAAAGAGAAAGAGAGAGAGAGAGAGAGAGAGAGAGAGAGAGAGTGTGTGTGTGTGAGAGAGAGAGCAAAGCCATGCATGCAGACAGAGAGACAGGGATCCACTGTGGAGAGAAAAACCTCAAAAAACAAACAAGTGGAAAGTGTTTTTCTACAAGCACATCATTCTCAGGAAGTAGGGTTGCCAACCGTCCCGTATTTTGGGCCTAATTTATTTGTCCCGTTTATAGACGGCTACGCTGATCCACTGACTGATACAGCAGCAACACGCACAACACCGGTCATCATCCAATCACAGCGCTCCCTCACGCGCATCACACCTTACCAATAACAAACTCTACATTGAAAATTAATTATTCTTTTGGGAAAAATCATTGTTTGATTTGCGAACAGAATCCTCTGGTGCCTATGCTCCTGGTAAATCCCTTTCATGGTCCGGCCGGGTTTGATTTCGGCAAATCAGTTTTGGTGAATTCAAACTACGTGATTATCGTTCATGAGTCCGACAGCAGCCATGCAAGACAACATGAACTCTTCCTGAGGGAATCATATGCTGACGTGATTTGCTGCCCAAGAAACATTTATGATTATTAATAATGTAAAATAAAAAGGTCCGGATTCTTTGATAAATAGAAGGTTCAAAGTAGATTTATCCGAAATAAAAAAGCTTTACAATAAATGTCTTTACTGTCACTTTTGATTACTTTGATGCATCCTTGCTGAATAGAAGTAGGCTTTACTTTCTTTAATGTCTAGTGTGTAATGTTACAAAAGCTTTATAATTCAGATAAATGCTTTGGATTGTTTAATGGGACTTTTTTTGTGTGACCTTTTAGAATTAAATTGTACATAAATAGGTTAAGCCAAACAAATGTGCTTATGTCTGAGAACCTTTTAAATGCATACGAACCTGAAATGACATATACTGTGTGTACAGTGCACATATTTTGAGTGTCCCTTATAAAGAACCACGACTGTCCCGCATTTTTCTTTTCAGGAGTTGGCAACCCCATCAGTAAGGTTGGACAAACGTGACGTTCGCAAGAAAATATGAGGAAAATATGTTTTCATTATTTTAAATATGAGGGAATAACAAAAACAAATATTAAATAGCAAATTATTAGTAGTAAACAAATGCAAACTACAGCTACGCTTTATTTCACGGTGCAAAACAACAATTTTTTGTTTTTTGTTTTTTGTTTTTTTGGAAAGAATATACAAAAGCAATCTTTGTAGACTGAAAACAAGTCATTTTTATAAAAAGGAAAATCTGTCAGTTGATAATAAAATACATTTTTAAAAGAAATGTATTTCTGTAAATATCATAAACATCATGTAAATGAAGTATTTTGCACTATAATGCAATTTTGAAGACTACTTATCTGCTACCATTAAACTGTTAAAGTCACCATTATAAAAAATAAGAATAAGTATAAAATAAAATAGAGACATATGTTTGTCAATATCACACACCCCTTATGCAAAAACTCTTGCATTAAACATTATGAATCTACCTGACAATGACTTATTAGTCAAATCGGGGTTCCTGTTTGAAAAATAAAATAAGGGTCAGTCCGAGGGTTTTTTTTTTTCTTGTGTGTGTGTTAAGCTCTTGTTTCTGACAACAACTTATTAGTATTAAATAAATATCAATAAATATGGCTCAGTATTAGCATATCATTTAACGGTTCGTATTAGCCTACTAGTAATGCTGTCTTCAATCAAGTTCATATTTGACATCAGTTTTCCTGTGCTAAAGCTAAACTAAAGGCTCAAGCTAAACCTTCTCCGTAACGCACAGCGAGATCTGCATTTGTTTCTCCAAATCCCTCGTTCTGCCGGCACACGCTCGGCTTTTATCTCGGCACGCGATTAAAAGAACGACTCCATTAAAAAACACTTAATAACACAACCTGAGCACAGTTTCACAAACCCGTCCGGATCAATACGAGGAAACGAGAGGAGGGAGAAAACGCTACACGCGTTGAATAACTTTCATTATGTGTACAAACCTAAAGAGAAGTGTTAGATCAATATTCTCAACACATCTCAGAGGACCCTCTCTCTCTCTCTGTGTGTGTGTGCGAGAGATAAAAAGTGAATCATAACGTTCTACTTCTCTAAACGCAATCTGGTGCGGCGTGTGAATTCATCGGACAGGCGCGTGTCAGCACGCCGGACACGGAGGCTAATGCTTCTCGGGTGAAAGGCTTTAGCATGAGAAAGAGACGCTGCAGGGCCTTCTGGTCGAGGAGAGGAACACAACACAACACTTCCCGTCAATGAGCCCGACAGGCGTGTGGCGTGAGCAGCGCAACACAAGCCATTATTCACACGCCTCCTCCATTGTGGCCCAACAATAGCAGCTCGGGACAGGGGACAAATTAGGGCACGTGTTGAGGAAGAGTGTGTGTGTGTGTGTGTGTATGTGTGTGTGTGTTACTAACAGGGTTTAAACAGACACCCTGCACTAAACCGGACACCATGCACTCAACACTGCATGCTATCTAGAAGTTGTCTAACAAAAGCTTCAATGCCAAACAAAACACATTTAATAAAAGAAAAGGCAGGCTGAGAGAAAAGTGCACTAAGTAATAGAAAGATATGTTAGTATGAAAAGGAGAATAAACTTTAGATGTTGTTCTTGATAAAACCCTCAAAAATATTGAGATTTAATTTTTTGTTGTCGATATCGCACACCCCATAATGCAAATAATCCTGTATCTCTATTGCATTTTTACTCTTGCATTAAACATTATGAATCTACCTGACAACAACTGATTAGTCAAGTTATAGTTCCTCTGAATAAAAATAAATAAATACAAATATTAAGATACATTTTGTCAATATCACACACCCCTAATGCAAATATTTCTCTATCTTTACAGCATTTCAACTCTTGCATTAAATTAAATTAAATAAAATATTGTGTGTGTGTGTGTGTCAAATAAAATAAAATAAAATATTGTGTGTGTGTGTGTGTGTGTGTTACTAAATCCCCTTTCACACAGCGCGTTGATCCTGGAAAATTGCCGGGAAATTGCCTGAACGCCTTCTGTGTGAACGCAAACATCGATCCCGGGTTGGGGACCTAGTAACATTGCCGGAATCAGTCCCGGAACGCGCGCTGTGTGAACAAAAGCCAGGACCAATGCCGTAGGGGGTGTGTCATAGTGATGACGCTCGTGCCATTGCGCAACTCTGTTGCTCTTATGCTGTGTTCACACCGGACGCGAATAGCACGTCAAATTCGCGCCTGACGCATCTAGTTTGACGCTTGACCACTTTGTGTTAATTCGCGTGTCAAGAGTGAAACTGACGCACGTAAAAACAAAAGTTTGAAGCGAAATTTACGCGCGTGAAGCGCGTCAGAATCGAAATCCGTTGGCGGCCATTTCTTTTATGCAGTGTTGTAGTCGAGACCACCTCACTTGAGTCCGAGTCGACACCGAGACCAGAGAGAGTCGAGTCCGAGTCAAGACCGAGTCCATAGAGAGTCGAGTCTGAGTCGGGTCCGAGACCAGAGACGGTCGAGACCGAGACCAGTGAGGGTTGATTACCTAATTTACTTTTATTTACTTAGAGAATTTTTTTTTTTTACTTAATTTACTTAGAGTTTAAAAAATATGATCAGTTTAGGGTAAAAAGGCCACATAGTAGGTGGTGTTAAAAGTAATTTTATTACAATTTGTCATGCGCAGTTGCGCACTAGAAAATCACCAATCACTGGCCGTGTCAATCAATTTAAAGAAATATTTTATTAACGTACATTAATAATCATGAAAAATATTTTTAATTGAACTCGAGTGGACTCGGGAATAAGTCCGAGTCCTAAAAAAAAAAATGTTCGAGTACGAGTCAATTCCGAGTCCATTACAAGACCAAGACCATTAAAATATGGTCTCGAGACCGAGTCCGAGACGAGTCCGAGTCTCGAGTACTACAACACTGCTTTTATGTCGACTGAGCATTTATCGTCTGTATTAACTCTGGAGAGCAGAACAGCGGCGCGGGGATCATAGTCACCGTTAATTTGTGTCCACCGGACCCTTCGGAAGTGAACCGTTTGGCGAGTTGGAAATGCGCCTGGATGACGTCCGCAGTCAGCGGTACTTCCGCCTGTCCCGCGTCCAGTTTGATGACCTGTTGCCCCGCATCGGAGCGAGGATCACCCTCGCCCTCATCCATCTAATCTAGCTGTCATTTATTTTTGTTTTGATGATAAATAGAGCCAGCCTTCAAAAGTTATTAACCTGTCCTGTGATTTTTTTCTCTCTTTCATGTCCAGACACGAACTTATGCTCATGTATGTCGGTTGTCTTTACATCATAATACTATTTCATATAATCTAGATATGGAATGAATAACATTCAATACAGAATGAACATGTCTCGTATATTGAAATAAAGTTTAAAGTGATAAAATATTTGCTTTGTTGTGCATAATCCCACCATGCGTTTAGTCATATTACAAAATAATTTATTGAAGCATCCAGATACTTCACCACGTGAGCAAGCAGCTAGGCTCCTGATTGGTTAACGCGGCGTGAATTGACGGCAAAGTTCAGATTTTTCAACTGGGGCGGCAGACGCGAATTCGCGTCAAACGCGTGAATGCACAAATGGCACTAACTAAATCATTCGCGCTTAACGCGCCAGATGCTTAATTCGCGCCAGACGCTCAATTCGTGCCATTCGTGCGAACTTGACGCGCGAATGAGGCGTATTCGCGTCTTCCACGCCGCGCTCTATGCCTCATTCGCGCCGCAGGAATTTTTTATGCATGTAAAATGTCTTTGCATTGACTTAACATTGAAATCATTCGCGTCTGACGCGCTATTCGCATCCGGTGTGACTGTGAACGCACCATTAGAAGAAAGTTTGAGTTCGTTATCAACAAAGAAAGGACGAACAAATGTCTGCAAACTGGAACGAAGCAGAGACCAGGAGCTCCTCTCGATCCGCGCTGAAGCTGAGATCATTCACCAGCTTTGTGGAACGGTATGCGCGTGTACATGTTTCGACGCGTAAGTTACACGTCTCATCCTGACGTCATGTGTCTTTCCGGGATATTTACGGGTTGTGTGGCAGTGTGAATGAACCAAAATCAAACAATCCCGGGACAAATTCCAGGTCACATTATCCGTGTATTTTCCGGAATCTCTGTGTGAAAGGGGCTTAACAGGGTTTAGACAGACACCCTGCACTAAACCGGACCATTTTTCTGGTGCATCTTATCTAGAATTGTCCGTAACAAAGCTTCAATGCCAAACAAAATGCATTATTATTGGCGTTTGATCAGCATTTCTCCTGCTGGACGGTATGAAATGCCAGACATGCAAACACCTAAAAACCAACCGAATCACTGCTGTGGTGAGCTTTGCCATGTTTTCTTCAAAGAATGATAAAAGAAAAGGCAGTAAATAATAGAAAGCTATGTTAGTATGAAAAGGAGAATAAACTTTAGATGTTGTTATTGAAAAATTACCCAAAAGTAATGCGATATCAATTTTTGTTGATATCGCACACCCCTAATGCAAATACTTCTACATACTGCATTTTAACATTACGGATCTCCCCGAAAACAACTGATTAGTCGACTCATGGTTCCTCTGAATAAAAATAAATATAAAAAAAAATATTAAATAAAAAAATTAAATTGTCAATATCACACACCCTAATGCAAATATTTCTATATCTTAACTGCATTTTAACTCTTGAATTAAACATTATGAATCTACCTGATAATGACTTATTAGTCAAATCAGGGTTTCTGTTTGAAAAAAAAAAAAAAGGGTCAGTCCGAGGGTGTGTGTGTGCAGCTTGTCTCTGACTCGACGAGAGTGTGTGTGTGTGTGTTTGTGTGTGTATGCGAGTGTGAAGCTCTTGTTTCTGACTCGATGAGTGTGTGTGTTTCGCAGCGAGAGCATGGTTCTGATGCTGTATTGGTGCTCAGTCTTTGTAGTTACCTTGTTTGATCTGTCCTTGCATGGCCGGGCTGGAGGCCTGAGGGCCGCTGTGTCTCGGGCTCTCGGGGGCTCCTGGTCTTGGGGGTCTGAAACACAAAAGGCCAAATGAAATATTTAACACACATACTGTATCTGCAGCACAGAATTTAACATCAGACCAGCACGAGTGTGTGTGTGTGTGTGTGTGTTTTATTAATATTTTGAATGAGCTTTTATTTCTATATTTTTTAGCTTTTGTGTAAAATTTAGCTTAATTTTTATTCATTTCCTCATGTGCTTTTTCAATACTGCTTTTTTATTTTTATTTCAGTTTTAGTTATTCATTTTGAGTTCCAATTTTTAATATTTAATTCAGTTTAAAGCCATGTGTTTAAAATGCTCTCATTATTAGAATTGTTTTTGTTGTTAAATCCTGAAATATTTTTTCACTTTTTTTCCTTGAATGTCTTTGTTTTAAGAAAATAAATAAGACCTTTTTTCCTTAAATGTTTTTTTTTTTATATCATAAGAAACAATTGATATCCCCTTAACAAGCGCGAGTAACACAGTCTCATCCCAAGAAGTCATATAACTGACGTCTTGGGACGTCTTTTGACCATACGTCAACATCCGCCTTTTTAGGGTACCCTTAAACGTCGGTTACATGACGATCCCGGGCCGTCATACAACTGACGCTTTACCTTTAACGTCGGTTAGGTGACGGGGTAGGTTTAGGGGTAGGTTTAGGTCTGGGGTAGGGTTAGGATCCAATAACGTCATCTAACCGACGTTTAAGGGTACCCTAAAAAGGCGGAAGTTGACGTATGGTCAAAAGACGTCCCAATACGTCAGTTATATGACGTCTTGGGATGAGACTGCGCTGGCGCAAGCGAGTACAACAAAGCTTCTGCAAACCAGAGTTATCATAAATACCTGAAAATTGAAACTATTAAAAGATTTATATTATGTTTATGTTCCCATTTATGTGAAATAAAATATAGATATTAGTCGAAAAACTTAAACTGAATTAAAATTTTAAATGTTGCCTTGGCATTCAGAATTTAATAAGTCAAAGCACTAAAAGTAATTAACAGGAAATAAATAAAATCTAAACCTGAAATAAAAATAAACTAAACCTAAATAGCATAAATTAATAAATAAAATGAAAAATGAAAAAAAGCACATAAAGAAATTACAACAAAATAAACTAAAATTAACATGCACTTAAATTAAAAAAATAAAAGCTTATTCAAAATATAAATAAAACTATAAAAAACAACTAAACTAAAATAACACTGTCACAAACACATTTTTGAAGAATGTAAAAATATTATCCCCCAAAATATTGCACTCCCCTAATGCAAATACTTCAAAAACATGTTCTGCATTTTTAACCATTGCATTAAACAATTTGAATCAACCTGACAGAAAAAAAATGTAGTGAATGTAATGAAGTTTTTTTTAAATAAGACAATAAGACACATCATTTTGTATCCATATAAGCTGTCGCTCAACCCTAGTTGCAAAAAACACCTGTCATTTTAGAGGAAGTAAAGAGATGTCTTCGTATAGTCAGCTTGTTATCTCTTCTACACTCTCTATCTCTCTCTCTCTATCTCTCTCTCCAATGTTTTTACGTCTACCGTCTCGTCCTGTCATCATCACTCTCCGCTCCTCCTGTCATATTCACTCTAACGAGAGCCTGACCTCGTTAAAGCTTCAGATCAAGCTTCTTTGAGATCTCTGGTTCCACATTCTGCTCTGAGTTCAGATTTTACAAGCACATCGTAAGAGGGAGAGAAGGTATGAAATAAACGACTTCTGACTCTAAGAAGTTGAAGGTTTAGTAAGAAACTCGCTTGAAACGTTTCACTTGCCAAACTACACAGTCAAAAGGCATTTGATAGGAACTCAAGATGTATGTGTGTGTGTCGGGAAAGTTTTAGCCGCTATAAAACCTTCTGAACGCATTATAAAAGACACTAAAACTGCAGTTTGATGGAAACGGTCCAAACGTCCACCAACAGCAATAATACAGTGTTTTTATTTCAACTGTAACATTTCCGCAGGTTCATCCTGGGCTTGTTTGAGAAGTTTATTGACAAGTTATTGAAAATACCATCTTTTTGGCCGTTTTAGCTTTCCACTGCGTAACTTTCCCTTCCAAAGCGTTTAGAAAACAAATTTAAAGTAAGGCCGTAAATGTGAAATTGCCTCATAAAAATGTGGAGCAGATTTTGCTCAGAGCAACACAGAGATTGAAAGATGTTCAGAAATGTTTTAATATCTGTGTGTAAACAGAAAGGATGTAGTTCAAGTGGAAAAACATTACCATATAAAAAAACTAGATTATTACAAATAATGTTATTTATAACATTTATATATTCTCAGGGTTCTTACAAAATGTTAATTACTGCAATCAACTAATACAATTATTTATTTAATTTATTTAGATTCTAAGTCAGTTGAGTGAATGATTCAATGAGTCACTCATAAAATCTGGAAATCAAATGCATAATAGTAAAACAACATACTAGAATGCACATTTCCTGAAGAAAATGTTTTAATATTTGTCTGTAAACAGAAGAACGTGGTTCATATGGATATATTTACGATTATAACAAATATTTGACAAAATGTTAAAGTCCCTGTAAAGTCAAAATTAAGTATGTGTTCTGAGTTAGTCATACCACAGAAAAATGTGTAATTAGCCACCCAGCCAAATATAATATACATAAAATAAGCAATCAAAATCATGAAAAAATGAGCAGATTCTCTGCTCTCAAACGCTGGGGGCGTGTCCGCTGGCTGTGCTGAAACCACGCCCACTCACGGGAAAGCGGACGACGGTGATTTTAGCTGATTAGCTTTTGGAGACGGGAGGATGAACACTGAGGCGGGAGATCGTCGTTTCGGCCCCGTTCACCAGTAACAGCGGATTATCAGTGAATCCAAGTTGTCTCTGAGGAAAGTTTATAAAACGATCCAGTGTAAAACGATCACTACAGAGGTACAGAGGCTCTTCATCAAGGTATAAGCTCTCTAAAAACCTCTTCTTGATGTGATCGTTTTTAGGGGAATTTAAATGAAGATACCGATCTGTTTTGTACATGATCGCATCCAGGTAGTAGCCCATGCATGTCCGTGTCAAAGGCATAGCTAGCTAGAAAACTGTAGGCTCAGCTGTAGTAACTAATAGTACTGACAGTCACTCGCGATTGAGCGGTGAATGCGAATGTGCTCGGGGAGTGTGTGTGTGGAGAGCGGGAGATCAGACTCAGTGCGTCATCAAATAGGGGGGTGTCCAGCAGCTCATGGGTTCCAGTGCGTCACGGAGCCCTGTTTTAGCCCCGCCCAATTAATCCGTAAAATTGCAATGGTGAAAAACTGTTTAACGGTCTAACTCCACATTTTAGTACTTCACAGTTCACAGACTTTGTAATATGTTTTAGCAATACATATGGAACATTTATAATGTGTTTAGAACTTTTTTGTAGAATTGCCTTTACAGGGACTTTAATTGACCCTTCGCTAAGCCCCGCCCTCCCTAGTTACTGTTGCTACGCCTGTCAAGCTTTCGCGGCTGGCCCATCTATTATAGTGTGGATGCACCCGGTATCAGACATTTCAATGAGATAATTAGTAATTTTTGGCGAACAAGTGAAATATCTGAGAGAGCAAGACAAAAGGGTCTACAGTATGCATTCGAGGGATATATTCACGACATTATATGCAACCGATTACAGAATAATTATAGGACAGAATAATAATAAGTTAAAGCCTAACGTTATAGTTCCAGCGCGAGCAGCAGCGCCTCATACGCTGACCGTTCAAATGGAAAACACAAATTGAGGAACAGCTATGTTCATACACAGCAGGGTACGTGAAAATAATCTTAATAATTATAAATCAAACAGCTAATCAATAAATCTTGTGGAATAACACTAATACCCGGAGAGCCGCGATCGGATTGGGTTAAGTAGGACGTCGATTAACAAAATGCTGAAATATATTTTAAAGTATGTCAGTGAGCCTTTGTCTTGTCTCTTTAATCGTCTTATTTTACGTTATATCATTATGACCAAAGAACCGTCAATATTTCCAAGCAATAGGTGTTTTTGTTAAGCATGTCCACATTTACCAGTAGTTGTGAATGGGTCTCGCACATAGACGCTAGATCACGCCAATCATTTCTCCCCTTGGCTTTTAGATTTTCTGGAAGGAAAACAATTCCTCTCCTCCGTCCAAACTTTTAGTATACCGGTATCAGATTTGCACAATCCATACGCACAATGCTACCGCATGTTTCCCTCGTTCGAAAGCTTGCCAGACCTCCCGCGCATAGTTACGGTTGCTAAGACATGATTGGCCAGTGGCGGTTTTCGGGCGTGGCTTAGCGAAGGGTCAATTGCTGCATTCTACTAAAAATGTCAGTTGAGTGATTGATTCAATGACTCATTCATAAAGTCTGGACATGAACTACATAATAGTAATACAAAATATTAGTGTTTGAACTGAACCGTAGGACTCCCGAAGCAAACATGTTCAGGTCATGTTTTACCCCAAAAATATAATTAAATAATCAAATATTTTTGCTTTATTTTCATGATTGTTAAGCACATTTCTCGGACATTCCTTATGCAAAGCATATATGATTATTTAAATGATAAAAGGACTTGTACTTGCTTTAATTTATGCGTATGTTTAAATGAATTAATCAATCATCTTCCAAAATTAAGTATTAAACGCTTTTTTATTTATTATCTTCAATTAGTACAATTATGTTACAAATTATAATATATACAATTATTTTAAAATAGTGTCTTAAAATATTTTATTTTTTATAAAACACATCTCTATTTAAATATATATATATATATATATATTATCTTACTCTAGTACAATAAGCAATATATTACAGTATTTAATTCATCTTTGTTAATGTTAGTGTTAATAATAACTGTTCATTGTTAGTTCGGGTCCATTTAATAATCTTAACAGATACAACTTTTGATTTACTAATAATAATAATAATATATTAGTAAATGTAAGATTAACATTAATAAATGCTTAAGAATTGTATTGTTAGTTCTTGATAACTAATGCAGTTAAATAATGTTATGAAATGGATTTGTAAAATTGCACATATAAATCATTTAAGATTAAATGAACGTTAAAAATGTAACCTAAACCTAAAAGCTTAAAATAAACCGCTCTTTCAAAACTATCCTCATTATATTGATTCACGAAAGTTATTTGAAGGTAAAACTGACTTTGAAAGAAATCGGTGGCGCTGCCCTTCAGTCTAAACATGATCCACAAACACATTGACGGCACGTATCGACGGGTTCACGTGTTGCTAGTTCACCTGCAGAGCACGAGACTGAAATCTCTCACCTGCGGACAAGCTGAACGATCAGCACACACACACACACACACACACACACACAGCGAGAGCAAGAGCTCGATAGCCGTCAGTGGCTTGACCCCGCGGGGCATCCGCACGGCCCCTGGGTCACGTGAGTCGCTTCATGTTCTTCTCACCGTCCTGAACCTCCATCACAGCCCTGGGGCCGGCGGGATACGCAGAGGAAAACACAGGTGAACAACAGAAACTGAAACACCCTGACGCCTGAAGGTTCTTTACTTTCTTTCGAAGTTTTTTATTCTGCCGAAACATCATTTATCTTTTTCTCTGTACTTAAAGGTACACTATGTAAGTTTAAAGCTGTTTTTGTCAAACAGCGACCCCTAGAGTACTTGTACTGTCATAAAATAGTAGTGGAAATAAGGTGTGACCCCTTTAAGAGCTGCGAACGCTGGGTTATTCTGCTGATGCTCATTCTTATCCTATTTTAAGTGAAAGGTGAAACTAATATATTATATAGACTCATTACATGCAAAGTGAGATATTTCAAGCCTTTATTTATTGTAATTGTGATGATTATGGCGTACAGCTTATGAAAACGCCAAAGTCAAAATTAGAATATTGTGAAAAGGTTTTCATAAACTGTAATCCATAATCATCACAATGACAGCTAGTTGATCGCATATAGCTAGTAGATTTCTGCACTGTGAGAGTGAAGAGTGTGAGAGTGTGAGATACATTCAAGATATTTTAAGGCCAGAATAATTTTATTTCAAGGAAAATAGGTTTAAATGCGTCATTTTAGGGATAAAATTATTAATAGACTACAGGGGGACTTTAATAGTTTTAGTTATGGATAATGACAATGTGCGTGCTTGTGTGTGCATGTATGTATGCGCGTGTATGTGTGTATGTGTGTGTGTGTGTGTGTGTGATTTCACCTGACTGGCGCTTTCTTCATATGCTCTCCGATGAACGTGGCGTTGGTCATGCCCATCAGTGTGTTAGCGAGCGAGATGACGGACAGCAGGTGCTGCGTGGTCACGGCTCTCGATACGCCGTACGTCCCTTTTCCCACGACCTCGGACGCGGAGAGCGTCTCGACCGAGCCCTGCGCCAGCCGGCGGAGCAGCGAGTCCTTGAAGGTGGGCAGCATCAGTGACATGTGCCCGCCTCGCGAGATCAGGCCGAAGGAAATGGGTGTGTGTGGGCGCAGCATCCCGAGCCGGCTCACACACACCTCGTCCAAGGCCCCGTTCAGGCCCCACGCGTGCAGGCAGGACATGAAGAGTTTGGCCGTGTCCATGGTCAGGTTGTATTCCAGGAGACTCAGAGACTTCGACTTCTCCTCACGGCGGCGCTGCTCCTCCTCTTCATCCTCGTCTTCATCCAGCAGGTGCTCCTTGATGTTTTCTTTAATGGTCTCCTTCACCTGTGCAGGGGAGTGATGGAACGGACATGTCGTGTGACGACTAATAAACCAACAACAGATGATTTTTTTATATTTATATATATATATAAATATATATATAAAATATTATATAAATATATATATAAAACATGTAAAATTTTCCTATATTGAGATATGAAGAGTTCAGATGCAAAAGCCTCTAAATGCCATTTGAAATTTTCTTCTTTAATGATGATTTTTATCAAGCTTGTATATTTAAGTTCAGTAATTTCACTTAAATAACAATTAATAGGTAATTATCATTGCCATTTAAGTGAAATCACTGAACTTAAATATACAAGCTTGATAAAAATGATCATTCTAGAAGAAAATTTCAAATGGCACTTAGAGGCTTTTGCATCTGAACTCTTCATATATACTCGCTGTATATATATATATATATATATATATATATTTAAATATTGAGGTATATACTCGCTGCGGGTATATATAAATTTTTAGTCATTTCATTATGTGCCTTTATATATATATATATTATGTGCCTTTATACATTATATATATATATATATATATATAAGTAACATCAAATCTTCCTATATATAATTAATACATACAATTTTATATATATATATATATATATATACACACACACACACACACACAGTATATTCTGTTATTTAGGTTTAATTTACTTTTATTTTATTTTAGTTAGCATTTATTTCAAACTAATAATTTTAGTGATTCAACTTAAACTTAATTTGGTGTATTGTCAATGCAACATTTCTGAAACTATATTCAAAAGCAAATATTCTTAAATTTTTCAACACATATATATTTATTTCAATATTTTTATTTCAGCTTTATTTCACTTTCTGGTTTTAGTTTACGATAATAACCCTATTAACAACTTTTGATCATTACATTTTAATCTTAACCTATAATGTTTTGTATATAGTTTTATTCCTATAAAATAAACATGTAAAATAACATGTTTATAAAATATAAAAACAAATAAATATAATTAATATAATTAATAATAATAAATAATAATCAAATAATATTTCTAATGTTCCTAAAAATATATAACTTTATTAAAAAATAAAAAATGTATGTTTATATATATATATATATATATATATGTGTGTGTGTGTGTGTGTGTGTGTGTGTGTATTTTTATTTTTTTATTAAATACTTTTATTATCTTAATTGAGTACTTTTATATAATTAATTATAACAAATAAAATTATCTAAAAATAGTGTCTTAAAATATTTTATAGAACAATTGTAATTTAATAAAATCTTCCAAAAATATGTATAAAAGTTTTATTTTTTAGGCTTAATTTATATAACAAATAATAATAAATACAATTATTTTAAAACAAATAAAGTAGTTCACGCTCACGCCCCCCCTGAACCACATTTAAATTCCCCAATAAGGGATTTTCCAACCATTGGATCAATTCAATTGATCTGCAGATGAAACGGAAGAACACATTGGATGGGTTTATAAAGTTGACTGTAAAGTGGATTGCAGGCCAGCGATAGTCTTTTGTTCAGTGATATGAAAAAAAATAAACAAGCTCTTTGTGTCTATCGGATCACAGCCATGCCAGAGTCTGACCTGCTTGAAGATCTTATTGGCCAGGAACGAGCCGCTCTTGTCGACCCCGCCGGGAGCTTTCTGCAGGGACTCTGGGGAGACGAGAGTGGGATTGGGACGCTGTGCCTCCTCCGTCAGCAACTGGATGATAACAGCCTCCACGTCGAAAAACAGCACGTGCATGTCGGGATCCGTGACATTCGTCTTCATGGCTTGGACCACCAGCGAGTTATGGGAGTATTTGGGAAGGTTGCCCTACAAACAAGAAAGAAGAATGTTTTTTTTTCAGGCCATTTTGTGCCACTGATTCAAAGCAAACCATCTATAACAGGAACAACTTTACAAGAGACAGCGAGAAAAATGTGTGTGACTGTTCTGGAACAACAAAGAAGCTCGGGTCAATGGTTTTGCTCCGGCTTCTCCGTGATGAAAAGGAAACGGCAGTGAGAGCGGATGAGCAGAGAGTCAAACACCCTCGCTGTACGATTCTGGATGAACTGAGAATCACACATTTGTTAGGTTTCAAATAGAGATCACCAACTCTAAACAGACATCTAAACTAAATAAATAGTAATTTACTAGACGTTCTGACAAAATGTTAATTGTTGCAGTCTATTTAAAAATGTTCGAATCTTTAAATTGGTTTGAGTGAATGATTCAACAAATCACTCATATCGACATTTGAATGATTCAACGACTCACTCATATCGACATGTGAATGATTCAACGACTCACTCATATCGACATGTGAATGATTCAATGACTCACTCATTTAGATATTTGAATGATTCAACAAATCACTCATCTAGACATTTGAATGATTCAACGACTCATATCGACATGTGAATGATTCAACGACTCACTCATATCGACATATGAATGATTCAACAACTCACTCATATCGACATGTGAATAACTCAACGACTCACTCATATCGACATTTGAATGATTCAACAAATCACCCATCTGGACATTTAAATGATTCAATGACTCACTCATATCAACATTTAAAGTAACATCAGGTAACTTTTCAACCTTCATAATATATGTCCAAGTCTCTTGAGATGGTACATCGACTTATAATAGGTTGAATGTCACGTCTGTCATAGCCTGACGGGGTCTGTAGCGTTTTTAATCGTACTTTTAAACTTCGAGTTTTGAGTAGTAACCGGCGAACTAAGAGAACTAGAAAATTTGACTGCTTTACAGCATATACGTCACTTCCACCACCATCACCCCCACTTCCTTAAAATCGGACGTGCGAGCCAAATGTTATAGTCATGGCCGAAGCAGCACAGAAAAAAAAAAGAAAACAAAGGTTTTTTCGGAGCAAAGCAAAAAGAGAAAAAGAGAAATTGGTCGCGTTAAAGGCAGAATGAGGATCAACATTGGGCCAGCGCTTTCTCGCTGGCGTGAGCTGAAGGAGGGAGGGGTGCCCGACCGATGCGGGCTGTCATGCTTTTGGACTAGTAAGTATATTGCTTGCATACTATCTCTTTGTTTTTTTTTTGTTGTTTTTTTGTCTGACTATGTTACAGAAGCTATCTTATACTCCGTTTATCTTCACGAATCAAGTAATGATAGTAGAGTAGCGAATTATCAATCTAGTAGCTAGTAAACGATATTCTAGTTTTTGATGGTTAGCTATCGCTAGCATTCTCATTCTGATTTGAACTTTGCAATCGATGAAATGCAAATAGTACATTTTTGACCTAAAAAGTGTAGTCTACTCAAGATGTACAAAGAAAGGAGGAAGATTATTAATATTGTCAATGTGTTCATAGATTCTCATTTGTTACATGTGTAAAGTTACTTGATTGTGTAATTTTCGATTATTGATAGCTACAGAGGCAAACGGGATTCTTGTCGCAATTTTTTCGGATGACGAATTGATATTATAACATTGATGATATATGGTTATTATCTACCACTCAAACATTGCATTGAAGTATCATATAGATTCAGTAAAACGGTAACCAACAGACTAGGCTACTATAATGACGCTGGCTTGTAAACGTGAGCATCGCGATCATTTGTCAATATGGCATTATATTCATATGACATGCTGAAATATATGCCACTGTACCTGGGATGAAGACATTTCACACACGACGCAAGCAGAACACCTGCATGTGACCTCCTCCTACAGTGTTCAAGGCTATCATGGTTGTCAACAAATGCGCGTGCAATGCATGTAGGATGACAGAGTTTACGAATGTAGTAGAGGACAATACTGTTTCCCAACTGTAGGGGGACCCCGAGAGCAAAAGCTACCAGGTGTTACTTTAAAGGAGCTGTATGCAAGATTGTGGCCAAAACTGGTACTGGAATCACTTTCAAATTCCCCCCTTAACCCATGACTTGAGGTTGCCAGATATGCTGCAGGTTCCAGCAGGAATGGAGGCTGCTATAAGAAGCTTCCATGGCAAGTGACGAGTCCTACACGGCGAGTTTTTTTTTCTGTTAATTATTTATTTCGGACTTTGTAACAAAGTATTTCGGATTCATATTGAGTTTTTGGGGGTTTCGCAATGATTTTTTTTTATCCGATTCCGACACGTTTATATCTGCAGCTGTGATAACTAGAGAAGAGCTGGCAACCCGAATGCCGCAACACTACTGACTCCGTGATTGGTAGATCGGTGGAGGGTGACGCATCAGAACAAAACACAACTTGACAACACAAAATCAGTCAAATGGCTGCGACTTCACTTTTTAAATGACAATATCATGGCTGGACTACTGTTATCAGTGATATAAGTAATTGAAATGAACATAATTGCTTAATGTCTAGTGACATATCAAGGAAAATTTATGATTAATTGAAATAAATTTTTTGCATACAGCTCCTTTAAATTGATTCAACGACTCACTCATATCGACATTTAAATGATTCGACGACTGACTAATAATAGACAATTGCTCCACTTATTCACCTATTAATTCAAATGAAATTTAAATATATGAATGACTAAAATAAATTATTAAATTAATGAATGATTAAATAATTAATTTGTTAATTCATTCATTTAATTGTTTATTCATTTAATTAATTAAATTACTAAATTAAAATGAATACATTTACAAAAAATATTAAATGAATGAATGGAAATAAAAATCAGCAGATTAACCATGCTTTTCACTCTAAAACAGACTCCGTGTTCCTCTATCTGCAGGGCAAATGGACGCGGCGTTTCCCTGTGATCAAGCCCTTGAGCCTCCTCAATGAGCAGCTCGTTATACAGCAGTAATCAGCGAGTCTTCAAACACATCAGTCAAAAGTTGTTCAGCGCGCAGGATAATCTATTTATTTCATGATCTGTGTAATAATCTCTAATGCTCATTAAGCCCTCCAGCATTCATTTCATCTCATCTCCTTCCAGTCGGCCCGTATTAAATAGCGAGCTTGCTAATTGTTATTCAATGTTAATTCGATGAACAAAGCACCTGCGATCCATTAGAGACATCAGGGAGGATGTTTACGACCGGTCCGATTCAGACGCGCTTCCTAACCCAAACTTCTGTGGCTGAACATAAATACACACAATGCATTAGATAAATGACCCAGAAGGCCGCCGTGCGTTAAAGGGTTAGTTCGATACACTTTTTTCACTTAAAGCCCTGTTTGTAAGATCGTTTCTGATGAAATAGTACGGTTAAGATTGACATTTGGACAAATGCTGCTGTTCTGAGAATTTTAGGTTTCTGTGTTATCACCCCCAAATTTCAATTTAACCATTCCATTTCTTTAGAAACGATCTTAAAACAAGGCTTTAAAGTGTACTAACCCTTTAAGGTACAATTTGAACGTGGCTCATGCAATCGTGTTTGAGTTGAAATAATTTTTTTTTTTTTTAGATATCAGTTTTCTTTATGAAGTGCAATGCATTTACTGTGGTAAACTCGTCCTGTATTTCGTGTCCTTCAGTGTAATGTCTGACTCCTGGAGTCTGGCGTACAATGTCTGCTCTTTGTGTTTGTGTTCAATAGCTCTGATGGCGGTCTGAGGGGCCGCATTGATATTACACACACACACACACACACACACACACACACACACACACACACACTGCTTGTGCAAGGTCTCGCTCCTTTCATTTTCCTTCAGGTCTCTGGGACACCAAAATAAAAGGCAACTGTTGCAGTGAAAGAAGACAAATCTGTGAGAGAGAGATGAAATGTGTTTCAGAAATAAATAAATAAATGTCTGACTGAAAAATGCAATTAAATATAAAAAAAGAAGCACATTTCTGTCAAAATATATACAGATAAAAAAATCAATTTAAATTATTTGTTTAATTTATTTTGTATTTAATTATATTAAAATATTTTGTTTAAATTAATTATTTAAACAATTTATTTTCTGTTTTCTCAGAAACAGTCTCAGTCTGTCTGACACTGTTGTGTTCAAGAATACACACCCTAAAAAATTAAATCATATGCTTATCATATTAACATTTCAGAAGTAAATTATTTTAGGACTAAATATATATATATATATATATATATATATATATATACACACACGAGTTTCAGTTATATCATTTTTGTCTGACACCATTGTTATAAGAAAAGAGAGTAAAAATAAAATCATCTGAATATATATATATATATATATATATATATATATATATATAATACAAGAATATATATGAGGGTCTCAGTAACTTGCCTGTCTGACACTGTTATGATAAGAATAAATAGACTATATTTATTATAATAAATAAAATGTATACACACTATAAATAAAAATAAAATCATCTGAAATTAACAAGACTCCTAATAGACAAGACTAAAAATTAACAAGACAAAAAAAAAAACATAAAATTAAATAACAAAAAATATATCTGGGTCTTAGTTGTGTTCAAGAATAAACGTCTGCCTGAAAAAAAAAAAAACATAATAATAAATAAATATGTGGGTCTTAGTAACATAATTTCCGTTCAAAAACACACACTATCTGAATGCAGACCAGTCTCTCTCTCTCTCTCACTCACTCACACACACAGGCACATCATTAGGCTGAACAGAGTGCTGTCCCAGAACCACTGGGCTATTTTAAACACATCATTACAGGACACCTGATACCAGATCAGCGTCTGAGGCGTCTGCACACCTCCACAGTGTATGCTTAAGATCTCAGCACATCACATGATGCTTTTAATGACCGAGACACAGCGGAAGACGTTCACTAAACGAGCAGTTTATATCACGTGACCCAAGATTAATTTGACTGCATGCATGACTTGACATCT